AACATTAAGTCATTAATAAAGCTGGACAAAACCCAAGTCTCCTAGTCAGACTTCTCTACACTAGGATTTGCTGCCTGGAAGTGCTTTAACACAACCAAATACTACTTCCTATACTTTCAGTCCTGCTTAGGAAGGGAGACAGCAATTTGTTAACATGCTGATTGAGCGTCCCAGAGCACAACAGTTACTTCTACCATGTTAGCCCAGGCTTCAGAAAGATCTCTTAAAACCCTGCCAGGTTCTAAACTCACACCTTTAGACTTACCTTGTCAAACATTCTGTTCAACAGTCTTGGCACTACAGGAAATACAGTTGGCTGCAACGTTTTTAGGTCATCCATAAGTAGTCTGATATCCCCTTGAAAGAATCCTATCCGAGCTCCATGGCACAGAATCACACACTGTTAGAAATAAGTAAATGCCTGTGAAAACTCTCTGTATAATTTGTTCTAGCTATAGGGTTGTCATACATAGATATGTGGGGTGGACTGTACAGGGTCCACCTCAAATCCTCCCAGCTTCTGGACAAGTTCTACAAAATGGGACAGGAAAACTCAAGGAGCAAGACATGCTTGTTGTACACAGGCCAAGGACTTTGATATAACAAGATATTGTACAAAAGTCTTTATCTGAAAGGCTATCTGGTCACATAAGGCCATGCCAGCGATCCAGAGGTCACAAAGATTGAAAAGAAAAGAGCTCTCTGTTTTAAAGTTCATTTAACAAGCTTATTAAAATACCAGAACTTTGTTCCCTGCTATACACTAAGAAACTGTGCATTTAAGTCAGCGCATGCTATGTACTGGTCCAACAGGAATTTCTGCTTTGAGCTATTTGTTTTTCACTCTCTTACATTTCAGTTTTCCTTCCTGTTTCACCGCACAATTGACACAAGCAAAGGATTTGCTGTTACGTGATCAAGACGCTCTCTGGAAGATTCTGGAAAAAAGAGCCACTCCTTATCCTGCATCACTTTAGACCTACACCCAAAGAAGGAAGGCTTAGTCTTGTAGCGTTCCATAGTCTGTCTGGAATCTTCCCCCACCTCAATATCTATTCCCAGATTTTTTTCCCCCCCCATTTTCTCGGTATTTTATTTGTTCTTTTTAATAACATCCCTACTCTTTTCGTGTTTCTCTATAGCTACCCGTTTTACTTCTTCCCCTTCCCCCGTAGCACCTCTTCCTTCATTTCCTGCCATCCATTGTTAGCAAGTCTCATGTGTGGAAAGCATAAAGACTCACTTTTCCTCTCCACCCATGTTTTGCCACCACCTACTAAAAAGGAGCAAATGCATCAGTCCAAATGCAGTGAGCAGCAACTGTCTTTGCTTGGCAGGAACGCACATGGCCTGTCATTTTCTTTGACCCTCTAGCTTCCTCAGGAAGCAGAGATCAGCAACCACCAGCTTTGCAGCAAAAGGGGACGGGCTTTTTAACAAGGGATAGGCTTTAAAAATGGTTTCTCACAGACCATGTTCATATCTCTCCCCAATAGTACAGAATCTTTTCTCCTTTCTAGAGGCTGAAAGCTTTTTTGCTTAACCACCTTAGGCAGATATACCTCTTTTGTTGAGGCCTCAAACAATAAAGGAATACTGAGATCCAAACCTTCTGCTCCTCATTTTATTTTTTGGAACACAAGTTTCCTTCCTGTTTCTACTGCATAACCAAGAGCAGAGCTGTTACCTAAAACAGAGCTTGCACCTTCTGATGCCAGATGGAAACCAATACAACAGACACTGAAGCATAACCGGTGTCCAAGTTACCAGAAAAAGCAGTGCTGAACGTCTAAGGGCAACTGTATACCTCACTTAAGCTGTACCTATTCCCAGTCTTCATAACAAATGTGTACATGTGCATCCATGTAAATAAAAATACACAGGCACACATTGACCTAACCCTTTCATTAGAAAGCTCAGAATTTCTAACCGAAATCACAGGACTCAACTTCTGGCTCTGTATATCTTTGTATACTTGCATGGAGGCAGTTTTGTTTCTTACAACAATTGGGATACATCCAGCTTCAGCATACACACACTATTTCAGTAATGTTATCACTTAACTATGGGCTCAAAGTTCTTTATTAACACTGCCATTACTAAAACAGCCCTGAAGTTTCTCATCCTCCAAAATGGAGCTCCAAGTTTCACCAAATAGTAAAACAGACTATCCAGACTTCAAAGTTTGTCATTTAATGCCATTAGAAGCTATTTTCCTTTTTTTTTTTTTTCGGGGGTACTCTGATACAAAAATCCCTCCTTTTTATTGAGGTGTCTTGGAAGCAATGGTAAGTGTAACTATTTTAAAATTAGTTTTATGTAAGCAAGCAGGATGCCACATTAGTCTGCAAATAAAGTTTATTCTATAAGAATAATAGGACAGGTTTTTAAATATTGCACTAGTTCTACTGAGGAATTTCTAGGTAGTTTAAGTGTGCTGAGGGATTTCCTTGCATTCTAGTAAACCAGTTTCTCATTAACCCTAGTGCTAAGGTTAAGGCTTATATTTAGGTATGAAAACAAATGGTCTAGTATTCATAGTTTATGAGATATTGTTTTCCTGAACCTTACCTCAACCAACCTTTCAAACATGTGCGCAAGAGGCAAAAAGGAATAGTGTGTATCACTAGGATTCAAGAGACATGCACTCTGTAAGAAAAAATAAGCTTCAATAGTTCTGTAGAACAAACGAATGCGTACCTCAACAATTCTCTCAAACATATGAGCCAAGGGTAGGAATGATATCAGAATGTCTTCAGGGCAAGGTATGAATACTTTCTGAAAGTGGAAGTGTTCAGCAAAAGAGAATTAAAGAGAATTAAAAAATCAATTAAGTTGAACCCAATACGTAATCAGACATCTTAGCTCTTCAGTTTTGTCTATAATGAAATCACACTTTGGTTTTCTTTCACTAAAAATATTACATGCATCAGAAGTCACTGTTGTAAACAGATATTACAGAAATTATAATCTTTTGCTAGAGCCGAGTATGGTAGTCATTCAGATTATTGCATGCATGATTACGAATAGAAACAATTTAAGAGGAGTCACAGAAAATTCCATTACAGATATGATGAAAAGAGAAATTAAAGTATGTCTTCAGAGTACAATATTCCAGACTAGGTCATCCTAGGTCAGAAAGTTCATCTGTTCAGTTTGCTGTAAGATCTACAGCAAGAGCATCTTATGCAATCTAACCCTGAGACCAGTTGCTTAATTTCATTCCACATGCAGAGTACTTGGCAAAACAAATATGGCTGCATTTTTAACCACATCTGTTTTTGTTCGATCTTACAGTTGTCTTCATAGCTAGCCTGCAAGTGAACTTTAGTAGCCTACCGTAAACTAAAAGACTGCACTAAGTATGGATACATGGAGTTATGCTTCTCACATGTTCATGCAAGTACTCAAAGTATTTCAGGGGTTAATATACCTAATACCTCCCCCCCATTCTTAACACAGAACATCAGTCTCTATGTAGACTCTGACAGAGAGCTTACATTGCTGACAAACACTATGAGTCTGTGGCAGAATGTAATGCCTATCTCCATCAGGATTTCTGTAGGATTTGGTCTGATGTTACCCACGGCAGAATGAAATCCTGCTTTTCTCTGCACTCCTAGACCACCACTTCTTAAGTGGAGATGCTACACCTTGGGACTGGGGGAGCAAACAATGCTCTGCCCATAGTTCCTCATCAAGGTGGCAGCATGCTACACCCATAGCTGAAGCCAAGGCACTATTTCCAGCTAAGCAAAGTGGACCTCAGTAACAGTGGAATGACTTTATTCTAGACCTTTTTTTATACTGCTCAACATCTAGAGGAATGGCCTGAATGTTACCTCACTGCCCAGCTTTGGGCATATCCACACAACCCAATGCAGTAAACATACTGCAAGTTCCCAAGCTGGGCCAGACCAGTGATCGTTACGCAGTAATATTGGCTTGGGCAAAAACAAACAAAACACCCCAAAAACCAGTTGGTAGATCCACATTAATCCAAAATGTGGCACTGTTCGCTGCACAGCTATTTCATTTCTGGTCCAGAACGAGTTACATTCAAAAGAGACTAGGAGGGTTCCTGACCCTGAAAGAAGAAACCAGTAAGATCTATGCAACCAAATCTAACCAGATCTAGAGCTTAGAGCTTTATCCACTCTTGCATGGGAAGGCATCAAAAAACAAAACAAAAACCACATCTGTCAAATTTAACATGGGGGACACTATGCAACTTTTCACATGTCCTCCAAAGCAAGAGGAAAGGGCCTCAGATAAATGCTGACTTCAGAACTAGCACTGACAAGAGTGCCATCAAGTTGACTTCTCCACTTGGATCTTACTGTGTTAAGACCAAAGGCAGTGAGATTTTTCTCCTAAGATGCTTCCCTTCGTGTTAAATTGTACATGGTACAAATCCACAATGTTACCCTTGCAGTTTACCTCCGTAGCTTTCACAAAAGCTGAAGCATTGCTGACTATGTTTTGATGAGTGATCATAGCTCCTTTGGGGTTTCCTGAGGAAGAAGCACATCAAGATGAAACAGTGATCTCTTTAGGTCCTTTAAGTTATCAAGCAGAGATAACAGTAAACTAATAGCATTTCATCAATCAGTAAGTCCTTTCCTAGATAATAAGACCCTTCTTTGTGTATTAAACAAAAGCAGAGAATGGGCTAACACATTTGCAAGAATAGCTTGGAACAGTTAAGGTGCGGGCGTGTTGAAGTCCTCATGTTATTTATGAGACCAAATCCTTAAGAAGCCGTCATCTCTCTAACAAACTTCTGTTATCCAAAATTCAATAACTCTGAAGATCCAGCTATTGAACTCAGCTTTCTCTACTTAACTCTGTTTTAAAGATGTAACTAATGCTGTGCTCTTCCCAAAACTCTCCCCAGTGTTGGATCCTGTCGCACACTTGAAATTTTGATTCTCATCCAGGCACTTGTCTTTCTCTTTTGGTCCTACAGTAAGTTGCACAGTGTGTAAGAGCTAAGAAACAGATCCTGCTATTATAGCTAAAAGACTACCAGAGAACTGAAAGTTTGGAATATGATCCAGAACCCTTATTGTAACGGAAATACATTTTCAGTACCCATTTCTGATCCCACAAAAGGTAACCTCCCCCCTTCCAAGACATTGCAACTCTATTGATCAATGGGAAAAAATACATATATCAAAAGGAGCCTTACCATAAAACTTCCCCAGCTACTACTTGCCAAAAAGATGCAGCAGCAGGGGGAAGTCTTTGGGTGGAAGGGGAGGAATGAAGTGCTTCTGAATTAGTTTTGCACAGACAGGATAATAAATTCTGCATAATGTATTGAGGTGTACCTGTTGTTCCACTGGTGAAACAGATGACTGCTAGATCTTCTGGCTTTGGAGGCTATGAAAGTTAAGAAAGTATTAGTATGGTTAAGATAGCAAGGAAAAAGATTTTCCTGGATAAAACACTGAAATACTAGTGTTACCTTGAGCTATGGGAGACAGGTAAATTTGCTAGTTTGATCTACAGAATGCTACCCAACTTTAGATTAAACTGCTTGAACTAATTCCATACTTACCATAGGTTTTTGCCGGTGTGCTCTTCCCAGCTCCTATAGAAGGGGGAGAAAGGTAAGAGAGATGGTTTAGACACAAAAGCATTGCCTTTTGCTTTAGATTTAACAAACAAGATGTTATCAAACACTATTAACATTCTATCATTTAGACTGTTATGGCATTTTAACCATAAAAGTGTTGTGAAGGCTTTAAAACATTTTTAAAAGATGCAGAAACAGAAGAACTAGTATGTTCTACAAATACAGACATGATAACTAACCTAAACCACATATAAATGTTTTATTTGGGGAAAAAAAACAATACAAACATATACAAGAGAAGCTCAAGGTTAAGCAGTGTCACGATAAGCCATACAGTCAGTCCAGTAGCTCATGTAGGAGATACATGCCACTGACTGCCATTGAATAGATGAATCAATACTTGCCTTCGTAGGCACCTCACATGTACATCACTGCTTGTGAAGAAAAAGACTGAAGCTTGCAGTGAAGGGTCACTGGTGGTCCGTACTCCTTTTGCACTGAGGAGTGGAGAGCATAAAATTCTCTCCCCCCCTCAAACCTCCTTTCCTTCTTTCTCCTGCCTTACCATTATTTAGGCCAGACCATTAAGGATGCCACAAATCTGAAGAGGCAGAGAGGAATAGATACCAAATACATCCCTTTACCAGTAGAGGATATAATGAGTAAGAGGAAAGATTTGAAAGCTTAAGCTCAATACTAATGAGCTTAAAAGTTTCAAGTCTAGACTTCTTATTTTTATGCCCATTTAGGATTAGAAACTATACTAGTTTAAGAACTTCTGCAAGACTGACCTCTTGTTAAGTATAGGTTTGGAAGCACCCTTTGAGGGCAGATACATCACTTCATCATTGCCTTTACATTCTAACTATGCCAAGACAATTACACATTCATTTACTAGCCCTAGCCTTACTTTAGTTTGTGATGCACCTCTTGGGTTACCCAAAGATATTTTAGGCAAGGAGTAAATACCAGTAAAAACAGTTAACGTTCCCAGACTAAAAGTTTGTCTTTTTGACACGGTGCCAATGCACAGAAGTTTGCCCACATGACAACACTGCTGCCTGTCAAAACAGCAGCATCTGCATTCCAGGTGCCACTAGAAGCTCAGTACTTCTCTACAGCTTGTTTTGCGCAAGATCCACTGTTTACTGATTATATAGCCAAGACCTAAACACCCTTCTTTTGTGGTAGAAGAACTCTAACATCTCTTCCTGTTGAAGAGCCGTTTATTCACAGCTACACAGTTCTAAGTAACTATACTACATGCACAGATATTAGGCATCAGACACCAAGCTTATGGCATCTGGGAGATACTCAGAAAGACTGGTCAAATAACCTATAAAGCCCAGGTGAACAAAGCTTCCAGGCCAGAAATCCAGAAAAGTACGTACTTAAAACTAGAAATAGTCATTCTAATCTAAAGTTCCTAAACAGCTCAGAGGTGCCTCTTGGGAGCAACTGGAAGTCCCCAGCCCTTAAGAACAGGTGACAAGAATTTATTCCTGCTCACTGAAGCTGCTAGAAATATTTAAGTTTTTTTGCCCAATTTGTTTGGGATTTAGACAAGTCGCTATTACTACTGTGTTCACCTAAACATGAAGTGTTGGAGTTAAAATAGCATAGTTAAGCCAGAGCTACATTATGCTTCTGAAAAACTCTAAGCACCCAACTTAAAAGATGCATTAAACTCTGGTTTCTTTTTCCTGTAGCTAGAAAGATCCAGGGGGAAGCATCTTTCTGTGCTTAAAGAGTTCAGTTCCAGGAGAGAGGCTAGTTTTAACATACCAACCGTTTCTTGCGGTTTTGGCCAATTTTTTTTTTCCCTTCAAACTTTAATCCAACCCTTTTCCCAGTCAACTATAGCACTGTATAAGTCACTTACTCTGCATAATTTCTCTAGTTCCATTTCAACCTTGGCAGTCTTGCTGAGGCAGGTTAGCTAAGATACAGTTAACCATCTTTTAAAAGACATGCTGACAATTTTTTCTCTTTACCAGAAGGTGGCCCCATTAACACAGAAAACGGCTGTGAAAACAAGTTCAGTAAAACAGTCCCATGAAATTAAGCAATTTTTGCAGGTGTCTCAGTAACTGGCATAATTCAAGCATGATTATTTGGAGATGCTAAAGTCTCTGTGAGCCAAGTTTTCACAAGAATTCAAGCTGGAACCAGGCTAAGCCCTGTTTCATAATTCCACAATAAAGATGTACTTCAGGCAGTTTGCTCCTGGGACAGATTTCTCCAGTAATGAAACTGTAACAAAAGATCCATGCAGACAAGCACAGCTATAAGCCCCTGAATACTAAGTAACTAGGCAAGACAGTTTCTGCTTTCAAAACCTAGAAACCACATTACCAGAGGCTAACCTTGGAAAGATTGACTACTATTCTCTTCATCCCCCCCCCAAAAATATCTTGTAGATTCAGTGCACAGGGGCAAAAATGTCATTTTTCACTACAAAACCAAAACCTATACAGATTCTTATAGAAATCAGTATTTCTGAAGTATTATTAACAATATGTTAATTATCATTTCTTACTGCTTCACAGAGGCAAGTCAATGTTCAGACCTGATGTCTCCTCTGGACTATGTTAACAAGCTTTTGTACCATTAATTTGGCAAACGTGCTTTTACATTTTGAGTGCTGTGAAATGCCACTAGCAAGTTGTTTTCCTTCTTAACAAAAAAAAAATCTTTTTAGAAGTGATTTGTCTACCTACTTCTTGAAGTTTAAGCATTCCAAAACTAACCCATCATATTTTGTTCAGAGTCCTGAAAACCTGTCTAGTAGATTTGTCCGCAAGTAAGGGAGATGAAAGCAGTAAAACAGGTCGAGTCTACTCACTTCTATTTCTCTCATGCTGAAGACCTCCACCCCACACTTTTTGCCACGTTCCACAAGATCCATGCCAAAAGGCTCCATAATAACAATGGTGTTGAGGACTGGAGTTTCCCCCTTTTCCACGCTGGTTAGCAGAAGCTTGGCCTTGTCAGGCTTGTCACAGAAAACCAACGACAAGTCAGCTGATTAAGGAAAACAACAATATTAACATGACGAGTTTAGACTAGATCCGTACTTTAGGAATTGGTACTGGAAGACTTTTCTGAGGAAGACTACAGTTCTGTCCTCTGTCAGCTCTGGCAACTACACGTACAATGGCAAGCTAGTGAAAACATCCTACCTTTGTTCACAATATAAGTAATTGCTTCAGTTCCCAGTGTGTCATAGAGCGGTACCACCACCATGGAGAATGCATAGCATCCCTGTTCGATGATAACCCACTGCACAGGAAAAGAAGAGATGCAAGTCACTGTGTGTTTACCAATCAAAGTAGACCTCCAAAACAAACAAACAAACTGTTATTAGAATTCTGACAAGGAAGCTATCTGGGCAGAGCTCATTTGAACAAGTCTTTAAACGGGTGCGTATATAATCTGTTTTCTCTGAAAGTCTACTGAATTTTCATCCGCAGGAGGAAGAAAAAACAGTAGCTTATGAGAAGTCCAATATGAGTCCTATTGGGTCCAGTAAAACTCAACCCTGTCCCTAACACAGAGTACATAAGCACTTTTTAAACCAGTTAACATACATGATCGATCTTAAGTTACCTGTCAACAGAAAGGTATTTTGAGTACTTTGATGATTCTGCTTCATACTTTCAGGTTATCAAGTAAGGTTTTACAGCCTTGGATATTCTGTATTACCACAGTATGAACTAGTGAAGGGTTTGTTCATGTCTTGACACACATGAAGTTTCTGTACACGTTCTATCCTTAGCTTTATATTAGCTGCCTCTTATCTGATGGCCTGAGATGCAACACATGCAACTAGTGTAGGAGCCACCAGGGTTCTTTGGAAGGCCAGATCAAAACATTGTTCAGTATCTGTCACCACTAATCATCCCCCTTTAGAGGAGGTCTAACCCGAAGATGCAGTTCTACATGCACCATTTCTATGAAAAAAAAAAAAAAAAAAAAAAGACATCTAACCCTGCAAGTCGCATTAGAAGGATTTGCCTGCTAACAAGCGTGGTACTCAATAAATATAAAATATTTTCTGTGTAATGCAAGCTAATGATGCTTTCCATGATGCTTCAAGCCTGATTTTTATCCAAAGCACTGTTAAGTTGGTCATGCAACTTTTTTCTGTACAGTAGTTATTTGTTAAAACTTGTGCACAACCACCTACACTGAAATATAAGCATGCGCATGACTCCCGAAGTGGGAGACTCTGGACACATGAAAAGACCAATGAGACTGGAACAATTCAATTTTTCCCCTTGAAAAAGGGGGACAAAAGTTCTCAGGCACAGTACCTTTGGGCAATTCCAGTTAGGTGGACAGAACATCACACACCTCCAGAAGTTCACTGAACTTATGATTCAGCAAGGATTGCGTTAGCAAGGGCGTTGGCTTCCCGCCCTGGGCTCAGTCAAACTTTCTCAGTGCTTTTGCAGAATGCTAGCCAATTACTTCACTGACACGTGGTGCCAAGTTTAACCAGCTGAATAACGTTTATTCCATATATCATCTAGTATAGAAGCTACATTGCAAAACTGAGGCTTAGCAGTTTTGTTAAGAGTGTTTTATTAAGGGCATGTTTCCTGAGCTAAATTTCTCTCTACGGTCGAGACAGTCAAACCCAGGGAATTTTTAAAGCACTTACACATCAATTAAGTTGTACATTCATCCCCAAAAGAATGTTTCTTATAAAGTTAACTGTTAGCTGTCATCATACTAACCAGTTTCATGGAGACATGAGACTTAACAGTAAGTCTAAGCAGGCATACCTACACTAGCCATGATAGGGACACTACTGAATATTTTTGCCTAGATAGCATCCACCTGTACGCGTAACAACAGGAGGGGCAGCCATATCACTGTTCAGCAGCCTGAAGTCTAGTAGCTATTCTAACAGGGTGTCTGTTACAGCCGACTTCAGAAGCAGCACACAGTGGCAGAGCTTCCCACTCTCTAATTAAGAATCGTGGATTACAAGTTATACAACAGCCATCTTCATCTTCTGGACTATCAAGAGATTTTTCTTCCAGGTAAGCTCCAAAAGTTAAAACAGCATTTAAAAACAAATAGTAAATCTCAACATTTGAGCTCTCCCCCTCAAAGCCCAAGGGAGTATCTAGTAGTATACAAACAGTCTGAACATTTTGATTTGCTCTTTAAAGTGGCTCTCATCTTCTGTTAAGAGAAACTACTTAGCTGTCTTGTTTTTCATCCCAAAACAGAAATTCCTTGCTTGCAGAAGAGATCATCTGTTTTCCAGTTACTCAAAGAGAAAGTCATTATTATTTATAAATCCAAATTTGTTTTTTAAAAATGAACATTTAAGCAAGTAACATGCTAGGATTTTCCCCTTTAGGGATTTTCCCCAGTAGTTGTTCCCTGAACTGATGAATATGAATCACATCACAAAGATCTTCACACACATGAACTCCCGTCTGGATTAGCGATTATGTTAAGGTTGTCACAACACTCATTCACTCGTTTTTGACAGGGAAAACCCCAGACTTAAAATTGCTGGCTTAACCAAGTCATTCCAGCTTGTTACTGATCCAAGTCAAAGCTTGCTGGAGCCAGGCAACTCATGCACATTATGCCTCTGATCCATGAGGAGACCACCCTGTGATGCTCTCCCTTCAGAAAATCCACTTAACTCAAGAATCAAAGATTTAATCTTTTGAAATAAAGAAATAAATCTCGGGG